ATATAGTGAAAAAATGGATGTATGCATTGTGTAAGAGTTAGCAATGCAGCGAGAGAAATAAACAAACCAAGTTCGAATTCCAGTGAAAAGTTTGTTACATTCACTTTTACACAAATACCCTTGGGGTAAAAATATGAATATATATCTCTTCTCTGCCCAGTTATGACTTAAATTGCAAGGCTCATTGGGCTCACTTGTCTTGAGGTGGCAACCAGTGTAGGAGAAGGAAAATTTTAAACAAGCCTGAAAAAGGATGGGATATATTGGCATTCTTGCCCTAGGCACACAACTGCTATGTGGTGTGTCCCTATGATTCTATTAAGTTATAGGAATTGTGACATTAAGTGATTATAACCTGAAGGTAGCAACAAGGGAGTGAGAGTTTTAATTCTTTTTTCATTTTTTCACCCCAAGCAAGACAATAAAGCCACTAAGATGCAAGGGGTTACTGAGTATTAGAGAATATGAGAAATAAAATCACTATTAAGGATAAGGAGAGGGAACAATAAAAAAAAAAAACCAAGAATTAAGAAGACAGAAGATAATGATTGACATTGCATTTAAAATTTTGAAGATCAAAGTTGACTGGAAAGCAAGAAGCCAGAAGAAGAGAGTTCTACAAGCAAGAAATGCAAGAGAAGAAACTGTAAGCCTAGAGAACTTGCGACTATGTCTAAGCCATTTCAATTGTCAAATGATGAGACCTTGTTGCCAATCTAGTACTGCATTTAAAATCATAAACTTATGTACCATAGAGCAAAATTCATCAGAACAATTGCCATGAAAGTATTTATAGAAAAGGGACAGGTTAAGATGGTGAGAAAGTGACTGACACAGAGATGTTAGGTTAGGACCAATAACATTGCAGATTCTTCTTTTGATTTTGTTAAAAATCTCTAAATATATAGCAGGAGCACCAGACCAGATGTAGTAGTAATAAATATGCAAGATAGATTTGGTTGAGAAAAATTGTCTAGCAGTGAATAAACATTCCTAGCAACTGATTCAATATAATCTTTCCACTTTATGTCAGCGGAGGACATTAGTTGAAGAAGGCACACTGTCACTCTCCTGGAGGTTAGCATCAGCCATACTGACAGAAGGTAAAAAAGGGTTCTCTCAAACAATTAAAAAGAGTAGTTTTGTTTTGGAGGCATTAAAACTAACAAGCCATTCCTTGCCCCAGTTAACAACAGATTGTTGACCATTTCTGAGATCAGCTGCTAATTTGCCCTTATCAAACCGATTAGACTTACTATTAAAACAGGAGTAAATGGTTATCATCAGCATAGATACTGACTGAGCTGAGGATCAAGAATCAATAATCCATTAGCTTTTAATAGTTTCTTTGTGATTCACCCCTAAACAGTAATGTTTCTTCCTATCTTTACTCTTCCTCCCTCTTTGGTTTAATATATTTGTGTATATCATATGAGTATTTACTTTTAAAGATATCTGTTTTTGAAGCTATAACAATGTATAATGCAGGTACTGTGTTAAAGATTTGTTTTTTATGGCTTATCAACCTTTTGTGGGTTATTTAAAGCCAAGTTCTGGGGATTGGGGAGAAAAGGCGGATTTATACCTTACCCAAGAGTATTTGGACATAAGTAAATATAATGGAACCGATTTGAATTGGGATCCAGCTCTCTGATTTCTTATTATGAGCTGTTATCCATTATACTACCTGCACATCCAATCACTGTTATTCCTAAGGGGTCACCCATTTATGTACTGACCAAGCTCAACATCATTTAATTTTAGTAGTCGTACAGGAACCAGTGTTTCAATGTGGTATGGTTGTAATTTCTCTTGAACAATGGCATTAAACAAAATTCCATCATTCCCTATAAAAAATAAAAAAATCTTGGAAGACCTGCAGCACTTGAACAACACCATTAAATAAAATTCCATTATTCCCTATAAAAAATGGAAGACCCTTTCATGAGTTAGCAAAGGTTAGGGTGGGGGGACCTGGAGATTTTAATTTGGATTTGTGTGTTTAATGCCATATCAACTCATATCAATTTAATGCTTAAATTTAATTCTCTTCGGAGCTTTGAAGTAATAAAAACATGTGCATAGACATGTTTGTGTGGACATCATTACATGAGGCTGTGATATGCGTGTTTTATGTTGTAGTTTTGTTGATGTTATATTTTGGAATACAGTTAAATTTCTTGAGGAAATTATAGAATATTATATGGATTAATATCATGAAAGAGTTGTATCAACCTCTATGTGTTATTTAATACTGAAATCTAAATATTTTAAACACAATTTTATGGCTTCAACTAAATATATTTTGAATGTAATTGTATGCCTTCATAAAATGTTGTGGATATGACCACATCTCTCCAGAACATGACTTAGCAGATATACAGATGCTGAGAATCATCAGAAGAGAGCTGATTGTGTCATCTTCATTTAATGGAATGAAGATATAACAGTGGTGACAAGGATTCACATTTACACAAAAAAGAAAATAATATTTTCTCTTGCTTAGCATAAATAGCTGACAAAGAAAATTCAAAATTTACAGAAAAGAGTTTTGTGGAGTTTGTGCATATTCATAGGTTGAAATGGAAGTCGATAAATTCCAAGGGTGTACGACAGACTGCTATTAGAAGGGAAAAAAACTTTTCTTTCCAGTTAAGGACTACTTGTATGAAAATAACACATGATAGAAGAATTGCAGATAATTATTTAGCATCTATTACAACAAATGCAGCAAGAGTGGTTTGAATATCGAGAACAGTTGAAGGCAATCCTGGAAAAGCAAGGAACAAGCAATGCATCAATTTCATTTTCACTGGACACAGTCGCTAACTCAATTATTGAGTTTAATTACATCCCAGAAGAAAACATTATTTTCCTCTCATACGTCAGAAGGTACAAATTTATTTTCAGAGAAGAATGTCAAGGATGGTTGGATGATAAGAAAGTACATCTTCTGTTACAAAAATTGTGCCCTGCCAAACTTGAAAAATATCTGAATTTCATTTTGCTGAATACTCCAGAAAAAGTGTCATTTAAAATTTTTGGTGAAAAGAATTCACTTTTTTTTATACACATTGGCAATGCATGAACCTTACTAAAGACGAAGATGATGGCTTTGTCCCATATGTTTGTAAAGTCAACCATGAGTGTGAAAAATTTAAACTGGATGAACTATCTCCAGATAGATTTAAATGTTTAATTTTTGTTAAAGGTCTAACTCCAAGCAACATTATGTTTCATGATTGTGTTATCTTCCTTCAATGGAATGAAGGCATAATAAATGTATTGTTGGTCATTTTACTATAAAAATGTATTGTTGGTCATTTTGCTATAAATTGTATTGTTGGTACTTCTACTATAAAATTGTATTGCTGGTTATTTCTATATAAAAATGTATCATTATACTTTCATAGTGTTTTGTTTTTGTTTGGATGGTTCACTATTTGCCTAGATTAGGGTAGACCTAGGAACAACAGCAAGAGGTAGTTCTACGCTCCTCAAAACCTCCAATCTCCCAATCAGAGGCCTTGCTGCCGGATGTAGTTTATTTTTATAACCAGAACTTTTATGAGTTAGCAAGTGACAGGGAGCTTTGAAGAAGATTGATAACAATTCTGAGCTTATAGCATCTGGTATTCCCAAGGGATCACCCATATAGGTACTGACTTGGCTCAATGTTCATTAACTTCAGTGATACTGTGTTAAAGACAATGGTGACAAAGAAACTGCTTTTAGAGTATAAAGCATAATAGAAGATTAAAAAGAAAAGAAATCATAAAATCTGTTTTCCAACAGACAAGTAAATACACCAACAACCCAAAAATAAAACAGAAGACTTCTACCTAAGAATTATCTCCCAGCCCCCAAGAAAACCTGAATAAGCAAAGTTGCATAAAACTGAACCAAAGAACTGTTTAAAGCTGAGTCATCAATTTAAAGCTGTTTGTAAATGCTCATTTTTACAGTCTTTGCGAGGACAGGTTAAGAGTGAAGAATGAAAGGACAGGTGTCAGTTAAAAGTAGATCTTTAAGCTTAAACAATTAAGCTTCTAAAAACTGATGGCATCTTCTGTCTTCCTTAAAAGCTGACACCTGAATTTCACAGTGATTGTTGCTGTTCTTGTTGATCGTGTTTGTCAGCGTCATTTGTTTTTTCTTGATTCAAATTCCATCTCGAAATCTCCTGTTGTCAGGGTAACCAATTACCTTTACTTAAAATGGAAAGAAAGAGTGAGGAATGCATCTGTCACAAGAAAAGCAAGACAAGTGCATTTCCCTCATATATTGAATGTTGCTAAAAGTTGGGTGGCTTCTGCTAAAAGACTTCTTGAAATATTTTGGCTTCTTGATTGAAAAAGAGGTAGGAAAAAGTTATTTAAGCAAGTATATATATATATATATATATATATATATATATATATAAGAATGACAGGTAAAAAAAACAAGAGACAGAAAGAAAAGTGGAGATAAAAGAATGAAAAATGTAAAGAAAAGAGTCAAAGGAAAACAAAGTAAAGAAAAGGAGGGAAGACAAAAGGAAATGAGAAGTAAAAGAAGCTAGAAGAGAAAGATAAGCATAGAAAAAGTATGGAAAGAGAGAAAGAATATAGAAATATCTGGAGAAAGGATGATGTGCAAAGAAAAAGTATGGAAAGACAGTAAGAGCAAAATTCATTAAGAGAATAAGGATATTTAGAGAAAGGAAAAATGAAGATAAAAAGAAAACAGAAAAATAGAGAAAAGATAAAATAGAGCAGGTGAAAATATAAAGGGAGAGAGGTAGGAAGGTTTCCTTTATCTTTCATTCTTTTTCTAAATGTTTTTTTTTGGGATGGGGGATGACCATTTCTTACCTGGTTTTCTTCCAGGAGCCATTTAGGCATGGAAAAAAAGTGGGTCAAGAATCAAAATAAAATATGTCCATTGGTAAATCACCAGTGACAAAGTATTGAAATGACCCTTTTCAAGAATAAATAATAAATACCTTTAACACTACCTACCTCAGCTCGTTCCCATTTATCAACGATGAACTTTTTCTCTCCATCAAGTTCTTCAATTGCACGGCAAACTTCAGTCTAAATCAAAATAGAAATAAAAAAAAAAAATGTGAAATTACTGGTATCAGAATATGTCCAGAAAATATCCAGTCATTTAATATTAATGAAAGAAAAAAAAAAAACTGACCTTCAGTAATGGTTCTTCAGTTCACTTCAAAGTATTCTCCTGATAACCTCACATACTTAACTTAGTGTCCGTTCCATTTTTCAAAATCAATCTAATAATTTCTCCTGCTGCATTCTCCTTAATCTTGACCATGGCATTTAAACAGTGATTTCAGTTCTGGAAAAAGCCAGGAGTCACAAGGAGCTAAATCCAGATGATAGGAGAGCTGACAGTTGTGGGTGACGTGGCAATTCATATCATGCTTAACCGCTGCTGCAGAAAGCGGCCATAAATTGCATGATAATAATAATAATAATAATAATAATAGTAGTAATAATAATAATATGTTCAGGTATTCAAAAGTTTTTGGCCCGACCAAGATAGCATTAAAAATGACAATAGAATTAACCTCTTACTTATTAATTTATCTATATGATGGATGAATTGTTGTCTAAATTACACAAAAATGAAAATAACACTGAAATCTCATTTTAACAGGTATATTTACCAAAATTAAACAAAAATATATTGAAATATTAAAGAGTAAATTTATTCATTAAAATTGCCATAAGCTTTAACCACAGCCTCCAGACGACTTTGGAATCTCTGGTCACTCTTCTGAATGGTTTCCTTGTTTAAGTTGGTGAATACTGCCATAATCCCTGTCTTCAGTTCATCTTTGGTATTATAAGGAGTTTTGTTGGTCTCTCTGCCTCAGACATAATAAACAAATTGCAGTCTGGGGAGTTAGGTGGCCAGATTTAAGGGGTGATGTGATTGCAAAAATTGTCTGATGGCTATGATTGGGTTCTCCTGCTAGTGTGGCATGGTGCAGAGCTCTGTTGCCAGACATAGGGTCTTCCAGCCCTACCTCCTCAAGGCACTTGATATAGGCCTCCATGTTGAGTCTGAGGCCCTCATCAACAAATTGGGGAGACCTTTTCTAATCAGAAAAATCAGAGTGAGTTTTCCAAGCTGCTGTACCTTCATAATTACCATTAAATTCATCCAACTCTTTCTGAATCTTCTGCACCGTCCTCAGATTGACCCCCAAACATTCTGAAATGTTTGTATTGGGGCTTCCAGCATGAATTCCAAGCAGTACAACATGCTGTTTCCAAATTTCTGGCGAAATCAATGGTATCATGGTTCTATTCTTATAGATGGTGCCCAACTGACCGTACTATACTGTGTAGGCAACAAAATCAAAAACAAACAATGTACATGCATGAAATTAAAAACATAAAATAGGGTTAATTTACCCATCATACTCAGAACATAATTATTTTTATAAGGAAGTCCCTATTAAACTTAAGAGCTGCCTTCTGCAGACTTTAGATGCATAATAATAATAATGACAATATGATTGGGTGTTGAATATCAGACCAAGATAGAATTAAAAAATGTGAAAAAAGTTTGGTCATTTTGTCAAATTTTGAAAAATGGTTCAGGCTAAGAACTTTTCAGCATCCCACATGACAACAGCAACAACAACAATAATAATAATAGCATGTTGGGGTGCTGAAAAATAACCAGTTGACCAAGAAGGGATTAAAATAAAAATCATTCTGATATATAATCATTTGTTCAAATTTTGAAAAGTGGTTCAGGATGAGAACTTTTCAGCACCCCACTTAACAGCAAAAACAACAACAGTGCTATATAATTTATATCAGGCTTAACTGCTGCTTTCTGTAGCCATAAAATGCATAATAATAATAACAATATGCAAGGGTGTTGAAAAGTTTTCAGCCCAACCAAGATAGTATTAAAAAATATGTTATGGCTTCGTCATTTGTTCAGATTTTGGAAAGTGGATCAGGCAGAGAACTTCTCAACATTCCATCTTAACAACAAAAATAACAATAATAATATGTGGGTGTGCAGAAAGATTACCCATTAACTATGGTGGGATAAGAAAAATTAATTAGGATGGATAGCCATTTGTTCAGATTTTGGAAATTGGTTCAGGCCATGGACTTTTCAACATCTCCACTTAATAATAATAATAATAATAATAATAATAATGTCAGGGAAATATTAAGCTGAAAGATTACTAGCTAACCAAGTAGGGATGAAAAAATTATTTGAATGTATAGTCATCTGAAGAATCTGTCTATATTTCTGAGATGAGGTATTATGTACACTATTTACATTATTTAGACTATTGTCCTCCTCTTGGTCGCCATATTTATTACAACGTTTCGGCCGTTGTACACTCCGGCCTTCTTCAGGTGGTTACAATGTCGAACTGAACCCTTTATTTCGCTCACTGGGGTGGACTGTTCTAGTTCCACATGCCATGACAGATGATAACTGACATCCATTAATCATGGCACGTGTAACTAGAACAGTCTACCCCAGTGAGCGAAATAAAGGGTTCATTTTTACATTCCAACTACCTGAAGAAGGCAGGAGTGTACAATGGCCGAAACATTGTAATAAATATGGTAACAAAGATGAGGACAATAGTCTGAATAATGTAAGTAGTGTTCATCTGAAGAAATTTGGGAAACTATTCAGGCAGGTGAACGCCCATCTCCACCAAACTTTCGAGTCGATTATCAACAAGAAACATCCTGAGCAACCAACATTATGAATCTGCTTCCCTAATATTGGGAACAAACTATCTGCATATGGACAGAAAAATGTATTCAGTCAATATACAAAAATAGACAAAGAGTGTAAGACTTTTCACCAGACAGGGAGCTGACAATTGTAGGTGATGTGATATTTTACCAAAAGCTACTGCTTGAGGCACAAAGAATCTATTCACCCAATTATTGTGAAAGTACCAATGATTCTTCTCTTTGCTGACCTTATTATTGAATAGATTCCCAAGGATGACATTTTACCAATCCTTGCAGTTTTCTTGACAAGAGTTTGTTTTGGAAGCTTTATACTCAAAGGCAGATGCTGCCAATATTTGGTTATCATGATGGATTCATTCAATTTTCAACAATTTTTCTATTTCATCCAACTGATATGGTGGTATACTGGATACAGGAGTTGGTTAAACATGAATTGCTGCCTTATATTTGTCATGAGATCTGGTAGTAAAAGACAGGTTCAGCAGGAATGAACAGCAACAGGTATCACATGGACAAAATGACATAATAATCTACAGATATGCCATATCTGCAAAAGCAACGGAGATCTGATGATGGCCAAAGAGTACTTAGCTGAAATGTTGTATCCATAACAATCAAGATGCGAAAAATAGTTTTGAAATAATTAAAAAAAAATTTATGCAAAGAAAAATAATTCTGGATGTGCACATTCTTCATACTGGGGAAAATGTCTAAAATTTTTTCCTTATATACAGTATCTGAAGGTATAATGTGTTTAAATTAGTCCTCCACCCCACATACCATTTATATAAACCTCCACCCCTCCATATTTAATACAATGTATTTTTTAAAATCATTTTACCTCAATCAAGGCAATAAAGCCACTAAGACGTAAGTGGTTACTGAAAGTAAAAGAGTCTGAATAAAAGTTTATTAAGGAGAGAGAACAGTAAAAGAATAGGATTGAAGGAGATAGAAGATGACAATTGATATTGCATTTAAATTTTTGAAGGTTAAAATTGATAGGAAAGCAAGAAACCAGAAGAGAGTATGAAAAATGAGATGTGCAAGAGAAGAAACTGTTAATATAGAACTTATGGGAACCAAAGAGAAAAGCTCATCAGAAAAATTAGCATGAAACAGGTTGGTGGAAAAGTAATGTCCAATTTCAAGGTCTATAATAAAAATGAAAAAGCCGATGATTATGAAAATATTTATTTTGCTTTCTAGATCATCATTCCATTTATCAACAAAACTTATAAATGCTATGCCTGAAAAACTCCTTAGTAAGTAAAATATGAATCCAACTCATTTTCAACGTCTTCTCTTGATATCAACCTAACACTATTCAGATAATTCTTTGAAACAAGTGATAATCAGAAAAGAGAATATAGTAGATGAAGCAAGCTCTTCCAAAATATTTTTAATCAGCTGAGATAAAAGAAGCACCAGACTAGATGTGTCAGCAATCATCAAAGTATGGACCAATGGTAGAGTTATAAATGTCTAAGATAGATTCTGGCAAGAAAAATTGTCTAGAACTACACAACGAACAAACTTTCCTCACAGCAGACACAGAAATTGATTCAGTATAATTGCTCTACTTTAAGTCAGTGGCAAACATTTGTCCAAAAATGCTGGAGGTTAGCATCAGCCATGTTAATGGAAGACAAAAAAAATGGTTCTCTAAGATTATTAAAAGAGAGCAGTTTTGTTTTGGAGGTTTTACAATTAAGAAGCCTTTTCTTGCCCCAGTTAACAAAATATTAAAGATTCATTTTTTTATATCAGTTGCAAATTTGACTCTATAAACCCTATCATCCTCACTATTAGGACATGTGTAAATAGCTGTGTCATCCATACAGATATCGAGTTTGGAGCTGATAACATCAGAAAGGTTGTTAATGAAAATTAGAAAAAAGTAGGTCCCAAAGATGAGGCCTGGAGGACACCTGTACTAATGTAAAAAAATTTAGAAGAGTGGCCATTCAAGACAACTTTCATTTCACAATTTGATAAGAAAGATTATATTAAAGTATTAAAATTAGTAAACCTTCCCATAAATAAGAATTCCTAGCTTAGCCTACATAGACCTCCACCTCGTATCTTTGATACATTATATATATCTTTAATATATTTAATACAATATGTCAAATTAATATCCTCCTCCACATAAAGAAATCCTAACTCAGCCTTTATAAAATTTCTCCTTCTACATCTGATATTTTATAAATCGATCTTTAATGTATTTAATACAATGTTAAAATAATTCTCTGATAATGCAGACCTCAGCACTTATAAACCTCTTAATCACACATATGGAAACTGTTCATTTCTCAAAA